ATCATGAATAGACAAAGGGGGTATGATCTAATGGTACTATGCTGGAGGAAAATTCAGCAAGGCCTCTTTTTTGGTTGTGGTTGTTGCTTTTGTTTTTGAGATGGAGTCGTCTTGCTCTGTCACCCAGGCTGGAGTGCAGTGGCATGTTCTCAGCTGACTGCAGGCTCTGCCTCCCAAGTTCCAGCAATTCTCCTGCTTCAGCCTCCAGAGTAAGAAAAGCTGGGATTACAGGCACGTGCCATGACACCCAGCTAATTTTTTCTATTTTTTTTTTTTTAGTAGAGACAAGGTTTCACCTTGTTGGCTAGGCTGGTCTTGAACTCCTGATCTCAATTGATTCGATTACCTTGGCCTCCCAAAGTGCTGGGATTACAGGCAGGAGACACCGAGCCCAGTCACAAGGGCTCTTTGTTCAGCATCTTCTCTGTGTCCCTGTCTTCAGAAATAAGGATGTTTCACTGGGCGTCGTGGCTCACGCCTGTAATCCCAACACTTTGGGAGGCCGAGGCAGGCAGATCACAAAGGTCAGGAGATGGAGACCATCCTGGCTAACACAGTGAAACTGCATCTCTACTAAAAATACAAAAAATTAGCTGGGTGTGGTGGCACATGCCTGTATTCCCAGCTATTCGGGAGGCTAAGGCAGAAGAATCGCTTGAATCCAGGAGGCAGACGTTGCATGAGCTGAGATCAGGCCACAGCACTCCAGCCTGGGCAACAGAGCGAGACTCCATCCCGAAAAGTAAAATAAAATAAAAATAAATAAAAACATTGATGGGGCCATGACTGGCGGCCCACACCTGTAATCCTAGCACATTGGGAGGCCAAGGCGGGTGGGTCACCTGAGGTCGGAAGTTCAAGACCAGCCTGGCTAATATGGAGAAACCCCGTCTCTACAAAAAATACAACAATTAGAGGGCTGAGGTGGGAGGATTGCTTAAGCCTGGGAGTTCAAGGCTACAGTAAACCAAGATAGTGCCAATGCATTCCAGCCTGGGTGACAGGGCAAGACCCTGTCTTGATTAATAATTAAATAAATAGGCTGGGCGAGGTGGCTCAAGCCTGTAATCCCAGCACTTTGGGAGGCCGAGCTGGGTAGATCACGAGATCAGGAGATCGAGACCATCCTGGACAACATGGTGAAACACCATCTCTACTAAAATACAAAAAATTAGCCAGGCAGGGTGGCGGGCGCCTGTATTCTCAGCTACTTGGGAGGCTGAGGCAGAATCATTTGAACCCAGGAGGTGGGGGTTGCAGTGAGCCGAGATCGCACCACTTCACTCCAGCCTGGTGACAGAGCAAGACTCCATCCCAAAAATAAACTAAAAAATAATTATACTGATGGAAAATAAGGTTGTTTTCATTTTTTGGTATCATACAAATAAAGCTGCATGAATATCTCTGAACATGTAGATTTATTCCATTGTCAACTATTATTTATTCAGAACCTACTATGTGCTGGTCACAGTTCTAGGCACAGGATACAGCAGTACAATAAACATGATTTTTACCCTGATAGGGTTCCCATCCTAGTGGGAGTAGACAGAAGAGTTAAACAGGTGAAAAATAGATGGTGATTAGTGTTGTGAAGAAAAATTGAAAATTTTGAGGACATTAATTTATTTTAAAAAATTTTTAGGCTAGATTTAAAATATTCTCTTGCCCAGGCTGGTCTCAAACTCCTGGGTTCAAGCAATTCTCCTGCCTCAGAGTCCTGAGTAACTGGGACTAGAGGCACATGCCATCACATACGGGGTTAATTTAAAATAGGATAGCTAAGAGAAGGCCTCACTGAGAAAGTGACATTTGTGTGAAAACCTGAAGTATGGAAACGAATCACATGGTCAGCTGAGGGAAGACGATTCAGATAGGGGGAAGAAGGTGTGCACAAGTCCTAAGGCAAGATGTCATCTAAGGTTTCCAGAGGCCTCATCCTGGAATGGCAAGGAGGCGAGCATGGCTGAACCAAGAGAGAAAGGAGGAAGGTGGTGGGAGACGAGGTCAGCAATGTACATGAGGTCAGATGCAGAAGGCCTCACAGGCCATTGAAAGGATTTTGGCTTTAAGCTCTAACATAAGGTGTGGGTCGCCTTGGGAGGGTTTTAAGTAGAGTAGTAATAGGATTTGATTTGTGATTTAATAGGATCGCTCTGGTTATTGTCCTGAGGATAACCTAAAGAAAGGTAAGGGAGTAGGCTGGTGCGGTGGCTCACGCCTGTAATCCCAGCACTTCAGGAGGCCGAGGAGGGCAGATGACGAGGTCAGGAGATCCAGATAGCCTGGACTAACACGATGAAACCCCATCTCTACTAAAAACACAAAACTTAGCCGGGCATGGTGGCGCACACCTGTAGTCCCAGCTACTCAGCCTTTGGAGGTTGAGGCAGCAATCACTTGAACCCAGGAGGTTGCAGTGAGCTGAGATCGCACCACTGCACTCCAGCCTGGGCAACAGAGCAAGACTCTTTCTCAAAAAAAAAAAAAAAAAAAAGATAAGGGGCCGGGGGTGGTGGCTCACACCTGTAATCCCAGAATTTTGGAAGGCTGAGGCAGGTAGATCACCTGAGGTCAAGAGTCAAGAGTTCAACACCAACCTGACCAACATGGTAAAACCCCGTCTCTACTAAAAATACAAAAATTAGCCAGGCATGGTGGTGGGTGCCTGTAATCCCAGGTAAGACAGAAAGGGAGAAACTGAGGATATCTCTAAGATATCTGACCCAAGTAACAGGAAGGGTGGAAGAGCCATTAACTGAAATAAGGAATACTGCGGGAGAAATGCATTTGGGTGTGGGGATGAGGCTGGGAGCTGGGTTTTGGTCCTATTGGCTTTTAGATTTCTGTTAGATACCCAAGTGAAGATATTAAGTAGGCATTTGGAGTCTTGAATGCGAGAGAATGATCTCAGCTAACAGTACAAATTTGAGGATTGTCCACATATAGATAATATTTAAAGCCACGAAACTGTTGGTGATGAACTGGGGAGCTAGGATAGATAAAAAGGAAAAAGATTAGAGTTCTAAGCCTGGGGCACTTACTCTTTGGCCTTCTTAGGATGTAATGAAAAAACAGGCCAGGTGAAGTGGCTCATGCTGGTAATCCCAGCACTTTGGGAGGCCGAGGCAGGTGGATCACGAGGTCAAGAGATTGAGCCCATCCTGGCTAACATGGTGAAACCCCATCTCCACTAAAATACCAAAAATTAGCCGGGCGTGGTGGTGCACGCCTGCTACTCAGGAGGCTGAGGTAGGGGAATCACTTGATCCAGGGGGGTGGAAGTTGCAGTGAGCCAAGCTCATGCCACTGCACTCCAGCCTGGGGACCAGAGCGAGACTGCTTCTCAAAAAAAAGAAAAAAGAAAAACAGGGAGAAGATTAAGTGACAAGTGAGGTAGGTGGAACCAATGTGGTATCCTAGAACTCAAGTGAAATCAGTTGAGGATTGAGAACAGACATTTGGGTTTACATTGTGGAGGTTGTCTGTGACTTTGACTAGAAGTTTTGTTAGAATGTTGCAGGGTGAGATATTGTTTGGTGTATGAGTTAGAGTTCTCCAGAGACAGACCCAATGAGAGAGGGAGGGAGGGATGGACGGATGGACGGATGGATGGATGGATGAACAGATGAGAGGGAATTTATTAGATGAATTGGCTCATGTATAAATCGTTTTTTTTTTTTTTTTTTTTTTTTTTTTTGAGTTTCGCTCTTGTTACTCAGGCTGGAGTGCAATGGCGCGATCTCGGCTCACTGCAACCTCCGCCTCCTGGGTTCAGGCAATTCTCCTGCCTCAGCCTCCTGAGTAGCTGGGATTACAGGCACGCACCACCATGCCCAGCTGATTTTTTTATTTTTTGTATTTTTTGTATTTTTTGTAGAGACGGGGTTTCACCATGTTGACCAGGATGGTCCCGATCTCTTGACCTCGTGATCCACCCGCCTCGGCCTCCCAAAGTGCTGGGATTACAGGCGTGAGCCACTGTGCCCGGCCTTAAATCGCTTTATTCTTGAAAAGTGGGTGAGCTCGGTGGCTGACGCCTGTAATCCCAGCACTTTAGGGGGCTGAGGCTGGAAGATCGCTTCTCTTTAGTCTCAGCCTGGACAACATGGCAAAACCCCATCTCTACAAACAAAACAAAACAAAAATTAGCAGGGCGTGGTAGCACACACTGTAGTCCCAGCTACTCGGGAGGCTGAGACGGGAGGATAGCTTGAGCCTGGGTGGTGGAGGCTGCAGTGAGATCGCGCCATTGCACTCCAGCCTGGGGGCCAGAGCGAGACTCCTCAAAAAAAAGAAAAAAGAAAGAAAAGGAAAAAAGAAAAACAGGGAGAAGATTAAGCGACGAGCGAGGTAGGTGGAACCAATGTGGTATCCTAGAACTCAAGTGAAGTCAGTTGAGGAATGAGAACAGACATTTGGATTTACATTGTGAATCACATGCAGTGAGCCGAGATCACGCCATTGCACTCCGGGCAACAGAGCGAGACGCCGTCTTAAAACGAAAAAAAAGTTCAAAAGGGTTAGTGACCCCAGAGAAGGATCACTTCATTACCAATTAAGATGATTAGCTAGTCATGGCTCACACCTGTAGTCCCAGCTACTCGGAGGCTGAGGCACGAGAATAGCTTAAACACGAGAGGTGGAAGTTGCGGTGAGCTGAGACTACGCCACGGCACTCCAGCCTGGACAACAGAGTAAGACTCCGTCTCAAAAGAAAGAAAATAAAGAAAAGAAAAGAAAAATTAAGATGAACTCCCTTCGGTCAGGTGGAATCAGGACGCGCTGGCTTTCTCGCTGGAGTCTCCTGCGGCCGTGCCTGGAGCCCACTTCCCGTGCAGTCCTCCGAGGCGTGGCCTCCAGCAGGGGTCGCTGCTTCGCCGCCGCCCTGGCCTCGCGGCCCGCCCGACCCGCTCTCACCGCGGCAGCGCCGGCGGAAGGGGCGGGGCGCAGGTAGGGGTGGCCTGGAGGCCTGCAGTCCGCGCGGCCGCGGGGAGGGACGGGAGGCCCTGACGTACAGGTGAGTGCGCCCCTGCCGGCGCGCCCACGGCCCGCGCCCCCTGTCACTTCTCCCTGCGCCCCTCTGCCCCGCCCACGTTCCCGCTAGGTCTTCCCGTGAGCGTCCCGTGTCCTGCCAGCCTCGGGACGCCCCGCGAGCCCAGGGCTGCGCAGGGGCTGTGGCCGTTGAGTGCGGCAAAGCCGTCCGCCCCGCGCGGTTGCTCCTGCTGGCTCCGAATGCAGACTGAGAACCCGGGGACGCAGTTGTCCATTTCCTTTGACCTTGGGGACCCAGGAAGGTGCACTGCCCGGGGGGGCGGGGAGGGAGCGAGAGGAACCAGCCCCTGTCTCTGCCCGCAGCCTCCGAGGTCTCCAAGGGAAGGGAGGGATCTGTAGCTGCATTTAGACCAATTTCTCCATCTTACGGAGCGGTGAACGGGCTCAGGAATGTGGAGCGTTTCCTGGAGTCAAATAGGTCAAACTCTGCGCTGCTTTTCTTACAATCTTCGGTTAGTTCAGACTGTATACCTCTCCCGAAGATCTCACCCAAAACCTATGAGCCTCTGCCGTGATCATGCCTCCACTCACCACACGAGAACGCGAAAGAGATTCTGTCAGGTGTTCTAACACCCATCATTGCTGGGACTTTTCCCGGTTATTCGAATGCACCCGTCCCCTTGATGGATTTTTTTCCACAGGGTGTTGTTGTTTCGTTGTTTTTTAAGACTATCTCACTCTGTCGCCAAGGCTAGAGTACAGTGGTATGAACTCCACTCACTGCAGCCTCCCGCTCCCAGGTTCAAGCGATTCTCCTGCCTCAGCCTCCCGAGTAGCTGTGACTACAGGTGCATGCCATCACGCCCGGCTA